GAAGGCACAGTCTTTTGAGACCGTGAAGTCACCAAAAGTCTTTACAGAAGAATTCTTCAAGAATTGGGGGTTTTTATGCTGGGTCTTAGAATTTACTGGTCACGTGGAATAGAAAGCATTTTCTAAAGAGGGAAAAACTTGGTCTTGAAGTTGAGGCTGTAATCAGTGGAGACATGTGAAGATAGCTTAGTAGAGGAATAACAGAGCCAATTCAGATTTTAGTAGATAACTAATACCAGTAGAGATGATGAACTCCTAAAATTTAGGAGAAGTAGCAGATAGTTCAGTTAAGAGATTGTTCAACAATATGGGAGGAACATTATAAATGTGTAACCTAAAGCTGTGGCACAGAAGAGCCCTGATTAGAAGAGAAATATTCTGTAACAGGACCTACAAAATTTAGTGACTTATAATCTGAGGTGTGGGATTAAGAAAGTTCTATATTACATTTAGATTTTTAGCTTAATAGATAAATTAGATGATGATATCATTAATCACAAATAAAAATACAGGAGAAAGCAGAAATGAATGGAATTGTGTCTAAAATCAATTCAGGTTTGTCCTTGCAGCCCATCAGAAATAAGGTTATGAAACTCAGTGATAGAAATCAGACCAGATTTTGGAGCTTTCATTAGAGAGCATTTAAACTAAAATAACCAGCTAATCCAGGTAGAGTGATTAGAGAGTAGACAAATGTGACTTCTATTACAAACAACCCACATTTATGGAGTGAAATGAGAAAACAGATCAATGAAGAAAACAGAACAGGAGTGACCAGTTTGGGCTGGCATTCTGAACAGGAGAAATTTTAAAGAAACAGGGAGTGATTTCTATTTCAAATGGTGATCTTGCCCAGTGTTCTCTTAGGCTTATATTAATGGCCCCTGTTTCAGAAAGACCTGGAACTCACATGTGAAAAAGAAAAGTTCTACTTGCAGGAGAAAGCATAAAGAAAATAAGTCAGTGGCTTTCTTTGTGATATTCTGGGACAAAAAGAAAGAAAGAAAAGGATGCTCAATCTAAAAAAAGTTCCTGCAGTGTGTCTATCTCTAACCTGCAGACAGGAATCAATTTTCATCTACTTGTTTTTCATGACTACAATTTAGTTTTATAGTTACCATTTTTCTTTTCTTGCTATGAGTCATTCACACATTGTGCTCTCCAGTGGACAGTTATGTTTCAGAGTGCTTATCCTCTTCTTGAGTGGAAAAAGCTTGTGGGTGGTGAATGACAAGGGTGAAAATACAGGTAAATGTCTATTCTTTCATAACATGTGTTGTGCCAAATCTTCTGACGGCTGTTTCTGTCAGTCCGTCAAAATCGTTTTCTGACCTGTTTTGTTGCCGTGCTGGTGAGTTGTTTGATCTCTCTGGGGAGGAGAAGTATTCTGGACTTTGACGTTTTTGTCCTTTTTGCACTGGTTTCTTCACATCTTCCCTGAGTGAACGTCCTTTTTGTTAAAGTGGGGTTATTTCTCCTGTATGAGGCATTTTTTAATGCAGGTGTCAGTGTGCCACTTGAGACAGTCTGTTCATTTTCTGCCTATGAAGGAGCTGCTGGGTGACCTCCATCTCAGTCCGGTTGCTGTTTATTCTTCACCTGGTTTCAGTACTGGTGGGGGTGGCCCTGCCTTCCAATGGTGGCCTTTTCCCTCTGCTGAGCCCTGTGTTCCCAGTGGAGTATGTGTTAACTATGCAACTTTCCCAGGAAAGGGACTCCAGTTGCTGCATCTTGTGGGGGAGAGGCCTGTCTGGTCGTATCCCCCTCCCTGCTTTCAATTCTCCCTTCTGTGAGATGGGCAGTTTCTTTTCACAAGCTTTCTCAGTA